TAATTTTGATTGTCTCACACAGGAATTTACCGACGTTTGACTGCCTCGACTGAACTTTCCTGCCTCTTTGTTGGTCAAGCTTGATTTTTCAAAATTTATTTATTTCTGGTAGCTATGAAATGTGAGGTTAGGATATACTATGGGGTGGGGTTGAAGTGGTAGTACTTGCCAAGTCATTTTTGATGGGCTATACATTAGTTAAGCATAAATCACAGTGACAAAAATTCCATATAGAAATCAGTAGGATTTTAAAAAAATGAATATCTGAAACTGAGGTAATCTAGAAAAATAAAATAGTGTAATGATTTATTTATCTATCCCCTCCTCTCCCCTGAGGCAGTTAATCAGCATGAAGTGTCTGAATCGGCCTTATAACTACTGAGGTATGTAGAATATTTTAAACTGAGGTCGTGAGATTGAAGGTTTTTAAAAAGTTGTCTGAAAGAAAAAAAGATTTGGCAAGTAATAAATTTTAGATTGTTGTGCCTGAACCATAAGGAAGTTAACGTGTCTCTTGGATAAATTTTATGCAATGAGAAGCAGTGGTGAATAACCTGTGATATTTTACACATTGTAAAAATCTTTCGACTTTTTATCTTGGTTATATTGTAAATACGTGTTACATGTTATAGTATAACTTTTAATTACTTCATATTTTTTACCTGGAAGTTAAAGATAAAAAATTATGATAGATATCACTTAAATCTATAACGATGACATGCATAGTCCTTACAAGTGAAATGGCCATACAGAGAAATGAATAAAAAAACCCTATAACCCGAGCGCTTTTGAAAGGTGGATCTTTCTTATTCAGGGGCAAACTTGGACTTCTTGAACCCATGAACGTTTCTAACATCATGAATAGCCATACAGAGGATATTCTAACTTGCCATATCATTTTGTAAAATAATTGTAGCTGGAATGATAACTTGTGCAGCATTTGAAATTTAGATGGTATTTTAGAGTGATTTGAATTTTAAAACTCGACTGAAAGGCAAAAAAATTATGTGCATAATTTGCATAAGACACTAGACAGTTACCTCTACTGGACATGGGAAATGATTAACAATTTTCTTCCCTTAAAATGGATTTCCTTTGAATTATCGTCATTGATAATCAATTAGAACTGGCATAATGATAGAGGTTCTTACCTAGAAGAAACCTTGTATTCTTTTACTGCAATAGTATAACCACGTGGCTGGTCAGTCTCTTACAGCTTTCATCGGCTGTAACATACAGACATCATTCACTCGGCCAATGAAAGATGTTGCACTCGTTGACCATTTCAGTACGGGTGTTTGACGTTACTGCAATATCCCCTCAGGCAGAGTACATATTATCTGTTATAGAGAACAAAGGCAAATAGAACAGAATATTTCATCGGTTTTCTTGATCACGTTTTTTATGCTAAACCTGCACAGTAGCATATCACGTACTTGCGATAACTGGATTAGTTTGTAATAATTAAAGTAATTTTGATTGTATAGAATAATTGTAACCAAGCTCATTATTATTTATTCTACTAACTACCATTTGTCACATTAACGCTCTTTGTTAATTAGCTTTTAAAACGGTAGACTGAATAACACCTTTCAACATCAGACGTCTCTTTTCAGGTTGCAACAAAAGGGGAGTCTCACAGTATGAGGCATGGCTCAAAACCAGCCAATGAGAGGAAAAACAGTTTCAAAAAACTTGTTCCTTGTAAGTTAGTTTCGTAATTGTCTCTCATAGTTATAAATAACTATTTTCATGTTATCAGTTAGTTAATAAACCCCACTCTTTTATAGTTCATTTTGTCGGATAATTAAAAGATGTTGGTTCAATCTAAATCACTTTTACTCAAGCAAATAGTACGAAAAAAATATTTAATCTAAAGTAATATTGACCTTATATGTAAAATTATAAAATCAGTTCATGTTAATCTTGAAATTGTGCCTAATATGATTACACGATCTTATTCATTCGAAGTTCCAGATTTTTCTAGAAGTTACAAAACAAAATATACAATGCAGCTTTAAGGAGGTTTCAGTACATTTTGTTACGGTCATAAAAGTAATATTTTTACCTTATCCTTAGAGACTTTCCCATAGAGATGGTCTATATAATAAAGTATTGAAATATGCACGAGCAGGAAATGTTGTTGTACACCCACCAAATGAAACAATTATTTTTATTGTTGTTAATTATTTTATAATGATCTACAACAAGAGCAAATCCTTTGATATTCATACAGTTATAAGTGTTCAAATTGTTTGCTCTCAGCTAGGCCTAAAACTGTAATTACTTCAACACAAATGTTTCACCTTCGGTAAACATAAGAATTACCGAGTGAATGTATCAAGAATATAATAACATATTAATCACACCATCTTTGATATATCCAGTGCTTACGAGGCCTTTCACTCAATATAAGAGCTTTTCAGGCCGACTGAAATACGACAGACATATTAATGGTTGAAACACTTTCGATGTGAATTAATTTAAGTTGTTGAACTCTAATTGTTGTCAAGTTTTAAATCAAAGTTATGGTAGAAATTATTTAACACTACATTTTTTATTTATTATAACACTAAATTGTATATCCTTTTTATTTATTTTATTTTATTTGAATTAACCTACTCACAATTTAGAGTTATGGTTGGCTCAGTAAAACTTGAAACATGGTACAGAAAATTCAAAGCAAGTGTGTATAAGTGAAAAAGCCTTTATATGTTTTGAAATAATTTGATAACTCTTATTCGTTTGTTTCAGAATTTCACGTGATATCTGCGCATACTTGTCACTAATTTTGAGCTCACAGACTAGTTAGTCTGTTGACAAATAGTCAACATATATCACGGCCAACTCTTTGGTTACTCTCGTATGATCGAATAGTAAGATTTGACAGTCACTCTTATAACACACCTTCAGCTCTAAAATGCGTAACAAAATTGCGGCACAAAGTCGCGAACTATCGCTAACCACTAGACCACATCCGGTCCTAAATTTTTAATAATAAGTTGGATGAATATTTTATGAAACAAATATAAGCTATAGATAGGTAAATGCTTGACAAAATAAGTTGTTGCAATAATTCCAAACCAGTCTAAAGTTTTATGAGTTTCACAGATATATTTTTAATGGCTTCTGGTAAATCAGAATCTCAGGACGTCACTGAGATTTCAGCTTCAGGTGTTATAATTCTATAATCGTACGGTACGTGGAGAAAAAATAAGTAATACACAACAAGAAAAAACGATTAGTCAAAGACTGCCTTCGTTTAAACAAGGCCTGGTATGGCCATGTGGTTAGGGCGCTCGACTAACAATTCGCGGGTTCGAATCCCCTTCCCGACAAACATGCTCGCCCTTTCAGCCGTGGGGCGTTATAATGTGACGTTGGTAAAAGAGTAGCCCAAGAGTTGGCGGTGGATGGTGATGACTAGCTGCCTTCCCTCTAGTCTTACACTGC